TAGGACCCAGGGAAGGACTACGTACCATCACAAGGGCGAAGGGGGTGATAACGACAGTGTGGAGTGTGAAGGGTTTTCATAAATGCCGCTCAAAGGGGAACACAACACTACATTAGGAATAAGCACGGTAAAAAAACTGTGACAGGGAATGTGAATAGGCCAGTGCAGAAGGTGAGATACCATAACTGTTTATCACACGTTTGGTCAAAGGATGGGCTTCACTTGTCCATTTGAGTTGTGTGGTACTACGAATGGCAAGACTCACTGACGATGCCGGCGAAACGTCTGGGAATGTACCACGTCCACGGTCTGACTTTGGAAATAATTCTGCATACAATGGACTCAGGACAAGGTGCGTTCCTATAAGTCGTCCTACCAATATGACCAAGTTGCGAAAACAAGGTCAAACAACTTCTGCTCCCTTACTTTACCTCTCTCACTTCGAGCCTTACGCACCGCACACACACACACACACACCGACCTTGCATGACACATTTACCTTCCCCTTCCGCTTGTTTATCATTCGGTCTTCTCCAGGCTTTTGGTGAGTCGGTCTCTTAGTTCCACTCAGGTTGGAAGTGCACACTACACACCAGTCAGAATGACCTATTCCAATCGGGGTCACAAAAAGCAGTTATGATGACTCATCACAACACCCCTGCACCAAGACGACTTGGTCACTTTTGCCCACGCCGTGCCTCTTTTCCCAATGCCCACGCCGATCCCGCCCCTTTCCAGCTTTCTCGGGCCTCAGGACCCGATAGATCAGCACAAGCGATTGACACCACAGGTACCATTTCACACAGCAGGCCTGTCTGCCATTGCGCCTGGCTGCACACTCAGATCACCCGTGGACCACGCAAATGCTCCAATTACTGTCGGTACCTCGTCTCATCTAAAACCGGGTCAACCGGTCGGCCTACTTCCACGCCCTCAGCGGAATTGACCTCTTCTGCCGTGGCCTCAACGTCCACTCGCCATTTCACTCTTGCCCGAAGGCATGTCTCCAGGCTTGGCGCTCCGGAAACCACAGCGCCTACACATCTGCAAGTCGCGCCTGGCCTGGCCTGGCCTGGCATTATGACTCACTCCACCCCTTCACCGCAAGCATACTTGTTCACAAGTCTCCAACCCTTTGCGTCAGACCCTAACTCACTAGGGTACATGCATTCCACCCACAGCAGGTTTGCTACTCACCCTTCGACCTTATTAAGTCATCAGGTCAGGTACTAACTCGGAGGCAAAGACTTATCTGCACCCGCTGTCACCTCTAGGCTTCAGATGTTAGATACCGTGAGGCTCATGAGTCTAGGAGTCAGATTCTGAGGCGATCATCCTCTTCTATTCCCTAGCATGCACCTCGCATTTTGCTACTTGGGGCCTCATCCTTCTAGAACCCTTCATATGACTCAATAGGAATATTTAGATAATGGTCTCCAGCAGGCACCGAGCAGCATACAACCATAATCAGCATCGTTTGGTTGCATAGGATGTCGTTGAGACTAAACTAAAGCCCGCAGAACGGAAGGGTGGCTTCAAGTATGTCAATGGAAGCTGATGCGGATAGTCAAATCAAGCAATTGCAGATTCATGTTCTAAATATTTGAAACTTCGCTGATTAAAAATGTCATATCTTTTTAAAATAAATGGATTTGCGGTGAGATAAAATTCACGTTTTATCTTCTCGCAGCGGATAGCCACTAAGAGCAGTGTTAGTAGATATGGAGAAAAGTTAGTTTTAAAGGATCCTTTTATTGTTTAATGTGATCCAATAGCTGAATTCGAATGATAACTCGGTTGAAAGGAGTTTATGAAATAGTCCCACCTGAATGGGACTTTTGGAGTGTGGGAACAAGAAGCGCTTAGCAAATGGGTTGACCACGTTGTCTCAACTTGCTCCTGTTGTTAGGGCAATGAAGTAGAGCACACCTTCTCCAAAGTTCTCTGCGATAGTAGGTAGCATAATTCCCAGCATCAGACCGTGGGCTTGGTACATTTTCACACGCTTCGCCGGCATCGCAGTCGGCAGCATCAATGCGTCTTTCCATTCTCCGCACCAAGCTGTGAACTCGTCAAAGAGGCAAATGAAGTCGATCCCTCCTCTTTCTGTCCTGACCCATATACCTACTCTTTACCCCCTTATCTAACTTATCTGCAAACATGTCGGTTAAGCATTACGTATTTAAACAAATTACGATATGCCTATTAGGTGAGATAATTAGGTATTAGAAGCAAGTATTATTGCGGCCTGTTTAGTTTATCGGTGCTTATTTCGGCACTGATGGCTTCTGATTTTTACGCTGTCCGTCAAGCCAGAAAGACAAAAGAAGAGCACAGAAGAACTGGGGCCGTAGGACGGTCAATCAAGGACATCTTTTGCGCACAATCCAAGAGTTTTCATCCCAAAATAATCCTAAACTAAAGCTATGAAGACCAAGATGGTGTGGCCTTTTGTGTACTCGCAGTCTCCTTTCGTTGTATAGAATTTGTTTGACCTTGTTTCCACACTTGTTCATATTAGCAGGAAGACTTAGACTAACTCATCTAGTCCGGATTCCATCGTATGCATGCTAAATTCCAAAGTCGGACCGTGGACGTGGTACATTCCCAGACGTTTGGCCGGCATCATCAGTGAGTCATGCCATTCTTAGCACCACATTACAACTCGTCAAAGAGCAAGTGAATCCTAGCCTTTGACCAAATGGGTACTGAACCCAGAAATGTTGGGGTACTCCTTGCTTTGCTTGTGTTCAATATTGAGCCACAACGTTTATGGGTTGGCACGCAAGAGACCATGGCATAGCAAATTATAAACGTGGTATTCGGGATAGAAACAGGATAGACGCGGCAAAGACTGTAGCTAGTTGGCTGACAGTAGGCCTGTTTTACCATATACGTGGTCCTTGTAGTAAAGGCTTGACCACGAGACTTACTCAGATGATTTAGACTCGAATTAGTCACCCAGACGCAGGGGATGGGTAATAACGCCTCCAGTGGCACAGATGGGGTGTCAGGGGTCGAGTAATATTGTTGAATCAGGGAGATGGCAGACAGATTATTCGGGGCAAGAGGGAGACTCTGATAAGACCTAGGAAAAGAGGACTGCGTAACAATATGGAAAACTCTGATCAACATTCTCAGTTCAAGGGCGAAGGGGGTGAGAACGCCAGCGTGGAGTGTGGGGGTTCTCATTAAGGCCGTTCAAAAAGGCACACCACACTCGATTTAATAAAGCAAGGAAAAAATGTGATAGTGAAGGCGTCATGCGAGGGTATAGGAGAGTTAAATAGACCAGGACAGAAGGAGAGATACCAGAATTGTTTAGCACGCATTTGGTCAAAAGATCGGCTTTACTTGTCTCTTTGAGGAGTTGTATTATGGGGCTAAGAATGGCAAGACTCACTGACGATGACAACTACGATGCCGGCGAAACGTCTGGGAATGCACCACGTCGACGATCTGACTTTGGAAATTATCATGCATACAATAGACACCGGACTACGTGCGTTCCTATAAGTCTTCTTACCAATATGACCAAGTTTCGAAAACAAGGTCAGACAAATCCTCAATTAATTTACGTCGTAACCAATTCAATAATTCCTTCCACCCACCGTTTCCTGTAAAACAGAAATATGCTCCAGTATTGGCTGTTTGTAATTATTTT